GCGTGTGCGCCAAGGGAAGTCTAGGATGCAGGGTACTTCACGGTATCCGTGCACTGCAAGACTTCCAGAGATTTTTTGGTGCCGGGGATCACACTCGGGACCTTGCATTTGCGAGGCAGGTCGCACCACCGCTGAGCTAGCCCCGGCCTGGATCAGGCCTGCGGCCCTGCAAGACCTGCAACGCCCCAAGGATCGCTCGGGGCTGTGGCCAACCCCAGGCCTGGGCCAAGGGAAGTCTAGGATGCAGGGTACTTCACGGTATCCGTGCACTGCAAGACTTCCAGAGATTTTTTGGTGCCGGGGATCACACTCGGGACCTTGCATTTGCGAGGCAGGTCGCACCACCGCTGAGCTAAAGCCCCGGCCTGAAGTTTTTATTTTTTTTATTCAAAACCAACTTCACTGATGATATTTAAGCGCCTATCGCACATGGTAGGGGAGTCTGATCAGGAGGATTCAAAGGATCGCCCAATTATATTGTCCCTGCTCTATATAGGGATCAAAGGCCTAGACTGATTTTTTGTCAGCCTGGACCCCAAAGCCAGGCTGTGGTACAACTGGGATCCAAGCCGTTTTCCGGAAGCTCTTTCCCACTGCTAACGCCTGAGCTGGGGCGGTCATGAGGAGGGACTTAGCAGGTCCTTTTGCTGAGATTTTGATGGTTATGATGTACCCTGTATGGGCCTCCATTATTTCGTCTCAAGTTAGCATTTCTTCAAGATTTTGCAAAGAAACTATATTGTTTTTATATTTAAGTAAACACATGTATTAAGTTAAATACAAAATTCACAAACTAATTGAAATAAAAGGGGATGTCAAAGAGATTTTGGTGTTGGGGTAAACCTTTGGGCTACAAACAAGCCTCCTTGAAGTTGTGTCCACTGTGGGGCTCAGACCCGAAGACATACCCTGCACGCAGAACCTAAGGAGCAGCACTCTCCAGGTGGTGGGAGGTACCTGGTCCCGGCCAGGCCTGCTCTCCTGTCTGGTGGACAGCAGTCAGTGGATGGAGGAAACCAGCATTAGTGCAACCTCAGCCATGCTGGTCTGTGCAAAGATCTCAGGAGTTCACACACAGACTGGAGGAGGAGCATCCCAGCCCATTCAAAGTCTTTGTGTTAGAGGCATGGTGGAGAGAAGAACAAAGGATGATAAAACCCAAGGACAGAGAACAGAGAATGCCAGCTAGAGTCTAGACAGGCAGTGAGAAGCTGCTGAAGGGTGTTGAGTAATGAGTGTCAAAAGCTAAAGGAGTTTGGAAAAGATGGCTCCAGGCACAGAAGAAGAGTAGGTGGTTGGGGACAATGGGCATGAATTGGATAGGAAGCCAGGGCAGTCAGTGTGAAGGGCGAGCTTACCCAGGTGTGTGGGGGGGCTCTGTAGGTGGGAAACCAGTGCCCCAAGGGGATGGTGTGGTTTCCATGGCTCCTCCAGGTGCACTGCCCTCCCAGGACCCTCTGCCGTGTTTACTAAACTGAACCATCTCCTGGAGGTCAGGAGATGGGACTGGAAAGTTCTCTTCATTCAGTGGTTCCTCCTGGTAACCACCCCATCCTGAGGCTCTCTGGGGGTGTCTCAGTAAAAATCACATCATAAACTTGGGTATGATCAAAAGGGACTGCTATTTAAAAAAACATTTGATTATAATAAAACGCTGCACACGTGATGAACTTCCCATCAGAGATTTCAAGTGTCTTAGAAACTGTATCAGAATGAGGGAGAGCAACTATATTACTTTTCTGGCACTATCACAAACTAGCTGATACCTTCAGCTTAAAAGTTTATTTGGGCTCATAGTTTCAGAGGTTTCAGCGGATGGTTGGCTGGTTCTACTGCTGAGGGCCTAAGGTGAGGGAGAACACCATGGCAAAAGGAAGCCTCTTAGGATAGCCAGAAAGGGGGGCGGGGGGCAGAAGGGAAGGGGTCAGGGGTAAGATATATCCTCCAAAGGCTCACTCCTGGTGACCTACCTCCCCACCTCCACCGACAGGGCCCCAGCTCTGACAGCCCACCCAGCTTTGAACTCAGCACCCTTATGATGGGGGTCACCTCTCTAGGCCCAACCACAACAAAGACCAAACGTGTATGTTACAGAACAAGGCATGTGGTGTCCACCATGCCCGGCACTGAAATAACCAGTCTGCAAAAGAGCAGGAGCTTATTCCTGAGATGGCCAAGCATGGAAGGGGAGGCCAAGCGTCAAATCCACTTCCTTAAGAATAGGGTTTAGGGGCATTTATGGGATGGATGAAGCAGAAGGAACTCGGAGCATGACGACAGGCGACTGGAGATGAAGCAACCACTACGCACATGAGAGCAAACACGTCTCTTCGTGGGGCACACATTCAGTCAGTGGTGGTGTTGGTGTCACAGAGGGATGGAGTTTGTGGCCCTCGAATATCACGAGTCATCCACTGGATACCGACACAGGCCCAAGTCATTGGTTTCGACCAAATAGGCCTTTGGGTCCCTCAGAAGCCACCCAGGCCACCCTTACTATCACAACCCATGAGTGGGAGGGGTTGTCTACAGCAAGCCAGTGGGAGACCAAGATGTGGCTCAACTGTGTGACCTCCCAAATTAGTGCTTTTTGATGTCATCTAAAAGCACCTAGGTAAAAGTTCAGCTAGAGAATGGGTCCCCCTCGGTCTGTGTTCAGAAGAGGGGGCCTGGGGCTGACCTGAGGGCAACTCTGACATTTAGAGGCCAGGACAACCATGATCTGCAAAGGGAGATGGAGAACATGCAGCCCCGAGGGGCAGAGGGACTGAAGAAGCCTTGCTCCTCAGAAGGGGGATGATCCCAAAGGCAGGAGAGAACCCAGCCTGGGCCCTGCAGCTCTTCGGGATCATCTCCCTTGCCTCTGACAGGTGTGGAAGATGGGATCTCTGACCCATCACACATCTCTGCTCTGGCCCCTGGGGGACCCAGGTGGGGACCCTGAGACAGGATGCAGAGGCTCTCAAGAACCAGGATCCCTAGGTGAATCCTGATGGTCCCTGACCTAGAGATGGGTCCGCGCTCATCACAGTGTGTGAACGTGATGTGCCCTCAGGAGAAACATTTCAGCTCTCAAATCTGTATCTTTCTGAAGAGTGAGAAGCGGTCTGTGCCCTGCCTAGACACACTGTGCTGCCACGCAAGCGGGGAGGCTGTGATATGTCAACTTCCAGGGGCTTCATCAGGACCCCACCCCACTGTAAATCAATGAATACTGCAGTTAAATGATGCAAAGTAACTCGATCGTACTATGAATTCCAGCTCCCAGAAATGCATTTAGTACTCTTCTCAAACATCATGGGCCTCTCTCCTGCTAAAGTATTTATTCCAGCCACTTGTACGGCCCTAGTTTACCATTTCTTCTAGCTACTCTTATTGCTGCACAGTAAACCGTCCTCACTATGCGCACTATGGCTGCTTATTGAAATAACAGCATTTATTTTCTTCACGATTCCCAAGGTAAGAAGGAATCCCTCTAGGACAGCAGCTCTTTCCTGTCTGCCCTGCTGGGATCATCTGATCGCCAGACCTGAGTCCTGGGCTGGGAAGTCTCCGACAGTGCAGGTAAAGCCACCAGAAAGGAACTTCCACTCTGCATTAAAAACAGAAGGTGCTGGGACCCCCCTTCCTAGGACCATGCAGTCACAATAATGGTCTGATTCCAGAGGTGGCCACCTCAGACCTTGGAAGTCATAAGTGGGTCCAGCACAGATACCTGCTGAGATACCAGGCCATGCTTGTGCAACGTGGGGTACTTTATAGTGTTCTCTGGTTAGGCTGCCCACCCCCCCCCGCCCGAGTTAGCTATAATACCTCTATATTGGTGCTCGGGATAGAACTCAGGACTTGCTCTTGCAAGGCAGCCCCAGTCATTGATTTTTAAAACAATACCTATGTATTTCTGGCTGGCCTTGAACTCATGGCAATCCTCCTGCCTCAGCCTCTTGAGGGCTGGGATTATAGATGTGCACCACCATGCCCAACTTCATTACTCAATATAATAGGCATCTGTTGTTTCAGTGGTACAAACCTATCCGCATCTCTGGGTCTTTCTTTTTTTGTGTGTGTGCAGTACAAGGGATTGAACTCAGGACCTTGCACTTGCAAGGCAGGTGTGGTGCCCAAGTCAAATCCCTGGCCCTCTGGATCATTTCTTATATGCTAAAGTCTCTGAGTATACATAAAAATATTCACATGAAATAAGATCGATATGCTTTTTCTCTTATTAATTGGAAGTTTTATAAAATTCTCATTGGATTCTAACAGAATTCAACAAAGGAAAAACATTGTATTTAAAAAGACCAAAAGCATTTTAGAAACTGTCTCTGTATCTATTTTAAATTAAGGTCACATGGATTTTTCAGGGGCTTAAAGGCAGCAATGGAAATTTCCCAAAAAATGCCTCATAACTCGAGGCTATCAAGTTCTGTAGCTCCTTAGGCCCTATTTTATCAACAGAGCTGAAGTTGGGCCAGAAAATAAACTTGTAATATATTTGTTTTGGTTTGGTTTTTTGACACAGGGTCTCACTATGTAGTTGAGACTGACCTAGAACTCACTATGCAGCCCAGGCTGGTCTCGAACTCATAGCGACCCTCCTGCCTCAGCCTCCCAAGTGCTGGGATTACAGGCATGCACCACCATGCCCAGCAATTTTAGTGAATTTGAAAAACTATAATCCTGCTTGCCTGGATCATTTCTCTCACACATATATGCAACCTAACTGAATTGAGGGACCTCTAAATGCTCATAATGTAACATTAGGAGAGATTCAGATGATTTCTTCAGCTGAGCCATTCAGCCAACCCAGAAAAGCCAGGACTTCACAAAAAGCCAGCACAGGAATGTGGCATTTCTCACCATCCTCACATAGCCATGAGCTAATAGTTATTTCTATACCCAGTAATGGGTCTTGGAGGCTGTTGGCTTGTGAAGCCTCATGAGATCATAGGCAGGGCTTTTTCAGAGGTGGCTCAATCTAAAGTGTGTGACCCTAAGATCAAGAGCACTAGGATTGAAGGCGAGTGCTGCACACTTAAGTAGCCTCAATAAGATATAAGGGACAGAAAGAGCCGTAGTGGTCCCTTGTTGCTTTTTGCTACCTTCTGCCTGCCATGAACTGTTTCCTCCTGTTAATGTTGGTCGGTCGCCATCCACCCTGCCTTGGAGCCAGAATACTATGGACTGAAACCTCTACAAACTGAGCCAGATAAACCTTTCCTCCCCGCTCCCCTTAACTTGTGGGTGTTGGGTATTTTGTCTCAGCAACCAGAAAAAAGTAAGAGGCTTACAGAGGGTAAATGAATTGCTCACTGCTGTGGTTTAAGTGTGTCCCCCCACAAGTTTTGTGTTGGAAACAGTCCCCAACTTTGTAGGTTAGTGGTAGCTGGAGGTGGAGCTTTTGGGGGGCACTTAAGAGCTAGATGGGGTCACGATGCAGAGGCCCTAGGATGGCATGAGCCTCACCACCTTCCTACAACCTAAAGTATGAGATAAGATACATTGGAGTTAAAATGTTTTATTCCTTACCTTTGGGGCCTCCTTTTAAATATGCTTTACTCACAAGTTCTAATGAAGGCTTTATCATGTTTGCACAATCTTTGCTCAGAGTAACGTAGTTCCCCAGAGCTGACAGGCCTAAGGATCACACCAATAACTTTTTCTGAAATTAAACAAGTTATCTGAACTTT